CCACACGTCAACCCCAGCCAGCGAGCCAGCGGAGCCAGCGAGCACCAGCTTGCTCGCGCAGAGCCAGACTCGAGCCGCTCGAGCCAGCGAGCCAGAGAGCAAGCAACGTACATCAATAGGTTCTCCAGGACCGGGTTCCAAAACAGAACCATCTTTATGTACCGAGAATATTCCTATAAGTTTACTTTCTCGACAAAGTCGTGAGGTCCACTCCAAGATAAGGAATGGCTCAGGGGGAGCTAAAGAGTCTGACTTGGTCTCAACATTGGAATCGAACCCCATGCAGCCCCCTTACCCGGCTGGTTTTGACCCCGTATGGTTAACTATTAATTTTGGCGCTGCGTGATATCGTCGAGACACACGCCGTACAAGTCAAAACGTTTCTCCTACTAAGAACAACTACGACAAGTACGACCACAACCGACTTGCTGCCGCCTCCGCTTCGTTCGATGGTCTCAGATTCTCAGGCGGACAACCACGGCATCGTGTCTTGTGAAGGCCAAGGGTTCTTTCGTTCGAAAATGGCCATCCTGTACACCTCAAGCGCTGTCATCGTCGCCAATCCTTCGGCCGCTTTCAAGGTAAAGTAGATGTCAGGCATTTTCTGGCGGTGGTGAGACATGTTTGTCTGTTCGGGGTAGTCTAGTAACCACTTTCTCAGCGGGCGCCAGTACATAGGGAGGGGTGGGTAGGCCCTGGTCAACCTCTAGCTGTTGCAAGCATCCGGTGGTTCCCACGAGGGAGGGTCATTCCATTATTGATCCCATTGGAATAGTCCAGTTGGACGTCTGGAGGAAGCTCGACTCTCTTATCGGCAATGGCATGATGCTTAATTGTATAGAAATGTGTGTAGGTGACAAATTTGGTCCGGAATGGCGGGTGATCACGACGGCCATGGAATCCTCGTGTTCTGTTTGAGTCCTACCTACGTTTCGAGACAGCCTTCTTGTGGGAAGCTACATGAACCAGACTACGCTGCACATGGACTACTTACGACCAAATGCTGATGTAGCCCGAACCAATGCACGAAAGGACTTGCCCGGATGCAGAGAACTGCCAACATCGCACTCTGTGGCCCGTTTTTGCAAGACAGCATTGATACCTCCAAGTGGTGGCGTTTCTCCGTAACGTGTTCTAAGAAAGTGGGCCAGAGAGAATCAGCAGAGTATTCTTCATAACGACGGGTTTCTCACACTGACCATCCCCACCACCTCCCGGCGCGCACAGTCTCTCGACAAGAATACCGTACTGTGGAAGATACTTTGCCGCTGTTTTTTCCACCGACTCCGTACGACGGCGCTGACTGACCTCCTCTCTCTCTGCTACCGTCTCCCTCCCTCCCCATAACGAACCGGGCGCTTCCAAACAACGACAGAGGGAGGCCGACCCTGCCGAGACGGCCATGCCTACAGACCCCGAGCTTCGTAGGAAGCTGAACATCATGCACGCGAGGAGCCGCATGAACAACGACGAAGACGTCACGGGCAACACTCTGTCGTCCATCAACCTTGATCCTCCTTCTGCTACCGTCGTCGCCGACGCCAAATCTTCATCTCCTGCCGCGTCCCTGAACAGGAAGCCTTTCTCTTCTGTTGCTTCCCCTAACGACAACGATGATGGCGACGACAAGAGCCCCGCCGCTGCCAACTCCGTTCCAGCGTCTACCGCCACCGCCGCCCCCTCTGGGTCTTCGCCGCCTTCTGCCGCCGACCTCAAGACTTCGGCTCCGGCCAACGTTGGCAATAACCCCGCTTCGGGCATGTCCAAAGCCGATTTTTTTATGGACAAGGCCCGTGAGTCTCGTGACGTTGGCAGCGCCGTCAACGTGGGCGGCGAGAAGGGCGGCGACGGGGGCAGGGGCCCTTCGACAGTTCCCCAACAAATTCGCGGACTGGAAGTAAGAAGACACGGAACCAGCAGCAGTAGTAGCACAGCAGCAGCAGCAGCAGCAGCAGCAGCAGCAGCAGCGGCAGCAGCGAGGTCAGCGCAACGGCCAAAGCAACGGGAACGATGAAAATACCAGCAACGGTAACGGGAACAGCAATGGCAACAGGAACAACAACAACAACAAAAAAAAACAATGGTAACAACAACGGCAACAACAACAATGACCGCAGCTCGTACACCCCCCCGGACCTACAGTTCCACCCCGACTTCGCCCTGAAGGTTGGACAAGTCTTGCTCGGGAGGCTCCCCAACCCGGCCAGGACATCCATAGCTTACGCCTCCCCCACCGACGGCTCCGTCATCCTCGCGACGGCTATCGGCAAGGCTCCGCGGGACGCAGACGGCAACACCACCGGTCCGGTGCCGCAGAAGAACCGGACCCTGCTCACGGCCAACCCGAGGAAAATGTCCAAGGTCCGAGCTCGCCAATCGGAGAACATTGTGGCTAGGCTCGAAAAGAAGAGGGCGGCTCTCGAGGGCCGGACCCTCCGAAAGGTATAGGTGGCCACCCTCATGGGCTTCTTGCCCTTCGGGAAGCACGGCTTCCTCAGGAGAAGGGCGAGGGAGCAAGCGGAGGCGCACATGGGCGAGGCGACGCTCTTCATCACCAAGAAGGGCGGCCTGGTACGTTGGAGGACAGCAAGGCTCGTCGCCGTCGTAGTAGGATCTATAACGTGCGTTGTTTGAGGTCGATCCCGAGGTCTATGATATGGTTCAAATTTGTGGAATTGTTGGCCATTCCGTCCATGCACGCTGCAGTGTCCCTCTCCCCCTCCCCCCCCGTTCAGCTAGTTTTCACCCCTGTGCGCTCCCTCTCCCACCTTTGAAATTTCTAATAATACATTCTACGTGTTCCGGTAGCACAAATCTTTGGCACAGAAACATCCTGGTCCGGTGAGAACCCGGCGTGCTCCGTCCCGGGTTTGTAGGGATGCGAGGTCAATGGTCTAACGACTACTGCATGCACGACTATGAGTACACCCCC